GGTAGTTCTTGTGCATCAAAACCTGTACTCACAACATCCTTAAATACCATTAGTAGTACAGTTCTTGCATCAACTAAAGCCTTGCTTACCACACTTGGTTTGGCATAAAAGTTTGTTCTTTTGTTGTCCTCGCCTTCCTTTGACAATTTCATTTGCATCTCATGCACTTGATAAGGGCTTAGAGGGGCTAAAGAAATTTTCGCTTGTCAAATACGAAAGAACAATGATTAGTCCTACCGTCATGTTTTACCTCTCGATCGAACTTCCATGGTCGTCCAAGGAGAATATGACCGGCTTGCATCGGGACTATGTCACATATTACCTCATCTTGGTATCTACCGATGCTGAAAGGAATTTTGACCCGCTCATTCACCTTGATTTCTCCTTGATTGTTAAGCCACTGTAGCTTGTAAGGGTGAGGATGCTTCTCCGTTTCGAGTCCTAACTTCTTCACCATGTATGCACTTGCAACGTTAGTACAAGAGCCACTATCAATTATCAAACCACATACCTTGTTTCTTATGGTGCATCGGCTGTGGAAGATGGTCTCTCGTTGTTCCGTCTCTTCAGAAGTAGCCATGGTACTCAAGACTCGCCTCGTAACCAATAGCTCACCACTATCCGGGTATTCGATCTCCTCATCTGCAATTTCAGCTTCTTCTTCGTCCATTGACTCATACTCTCCCGCATCTGTGAGAATCATGACCCGATTGTTTGGGCAGTCCTTGGCATAGTGTCCACGTCCCCTGCATTTGTAACAAACAATCTCTCGAGTTCTAAGATTAGTAGAGTTGGATCTACTTACCTTTGATTCATCCTTGGACGTAGCTACAGCCTTTCCTTTGTCCCGAACTTGAGTTTCATGTGTACTTGGCCTGCTCACAGTGGTTGTTACTCCTTTGCCCTCATTTCTGTATGTTGATGGAGTTGGTGCAGCCATACGGGAGCGGTGTACTCGGTTTTGTTTCTTGATGATTTGCTGTTCAATTTGTATAGCAAAATGTAATAGTTCCTGCAGATCATGATACACTAACCTTTCGACCTTGCGAGAAATTCGTTCTTGCAGTCCGTCAACGAATTGTGCCATCACCGTTTCTTCGTTTTCATCCAATTCCAACCGGTTTCGAAGATATTCAAATTCCTCGAAGTAGTCTTCAACCGATTTTGTCCCCTGCACTAAAGAACGGTATTTCTTCTGCAACTCTCTATGAAAATGAGGTGGAACATACCTTCTCCTCATCATGAGTTTCATTTCACGCCAAGTAGAGATGGGTTCATAATGTGCTCTCCTCCTTTCTGCGACTTCGCGATCCCACCATGCTAGGGCATTATCGGTGAGTTGTGCAGCAGCATATTGCACTTTCTTGTACTCCGAATACTCATAACATTCAAAGATATTATCCATCCGCCTCTCCCAATCGAGAAAAGCATCAGGGTTAACACGACCAGCAAATGTAGGTAATTGGAGTTTGATATCTTTACCGTTATGTCTTGCACGACGAGGCTGATCTCGACATAAATCATCGTCCTCTTCATCATCTTCAATTGGGACGTTGTTCCTGTGGTCTCTTCGTCGTTGAGGAGGATCAGGGGGTGTGCGTTCTCGGTCTCGTACAGGTTCTTCACGCCTAGGAAAGTTGACCCGAATAGGTTCTGGTCTCCTTGGTAACTCCTCTAGTCGTGCCAATCGTTCTTGTATGTCTTGCAGAATTTGTGCAAGCGCATTGTGGCTGGGCTCTCCTTCTCCCGACATTCTAACTTCTTTATTTTGTTTTTTTCTCAAGGTTTTGTAAATAGAAAGATCAAAACAGAACAGGAACTCAAAGTAAAATGAAATAGAAAGAGATATCGTGTTACCTCTTCACCGGTGGAACTGTTTTTGTATTTTTCGGTTTTCTTCAAAATAAAAAAGGGTAAATCTGATTAAAAACGAATTGAAATGATAGAAGGAACACCTTACCTCACGTTGGTCCTTGAACCGGGCTCTGATACCAAAAATGATACACACTCGGGCTTAAGAACACACGATCGATGGTGATTCTCGGTTGTGAATGGTGGATAGGTTTCAGAAGTTAGTCTCTGGCTCTAAGGCACTCGATCTTTGCTTCTAAACCAAAAGATGACGTGAATGGACTAAGGAATTGATAGGGAAATCCTCGGACAGACCAAGGGATGCTCGGACACACCAAGCAAGGAGATTAGCGAAATTGGACACACCAAAAGCTAAAGAAAACAATGCAGAAAAGTTCTTATTCAAGTCTGATCTCTTCAGCTCG